GGTAGCGGGGAGAGGTGGGTGGTTGCAGGATGGTGAATGTAAATCCAGAAGTGAATAATAACCAAATAAAACAAGATATAGAGAAAGAGGGAGAAGAGAAGGGAGATGAGGGAACAATGAGAGATGGTAAGGGTGAGAGACAGACTGATAGAGCGAATAAATGTGAAAGAGATGAGGGAAAGAGAGAGAGAGAGAAAAAGAGAGAGAGGAACGGACAGACAGATGGACGAACGAACAAATGGACCGATGGACAGACATGGAAATATTGTACGAAATCGTAAATACAACGTAATGTCGGTGCATATCTTGAGCGTAAGACACCAACCACAACACGACCTCATTCTGTGCAGGCACGCCCGACTCTGAGGAGACGGTGGCGCCCCTCGGTGGCAAGAAATGGTCCAAGTCGAGGAGGGTGCAGACGAGGATTCCGACTATCAAGAAGATGGTATCCTCTAACACCTCCAGCGGCAGTGACAAGGAACGGCCGGAAACCATGAAGCTGTGGGGTAAACATTTCAAGTAAGTTCCTTCTCGACCTTCCTCAGCTCGAGCTAGTAAAGGACCTTTGGCTTTAAATTTGTCACAGATTGGTAATAGTTGGTGTAGTCAAAGTGTTCCTAGGTGAAATTCTGTGGATGACAATGGAATCCCCTTCTCTCCTCCCACACTGTCATTTTTGTAAGGCCCATGGTCTATTGTAGTTACTTCATATCCCTGGCTCTTTCCTTTCCTTTCCTCTCTTTCACTACCTCTGATCCAACTTCTTCGGATCAACTTTCTAAGCCCTCTTCCTTCTTCATGAGATCCATATCTATATACACACACATGTATGTATGTATATATATATACATACATATATAACTGGAGCATGGCAATGCTTCGTGAGCGCTGGAACATTCCCATGCCACGCACGCTCTATTGTTTGCGCACGCTCTATTGTCACACGCATCCTCCGCTCGTCCGCAGGCACGCGAGAGCGCACACGGAGCATCGGGCGCGGCGGGCGAACGAGCTCAGCTTCGAGAAGGGGGCGCTACTGCAGGTGGTGCACGACGTCGACCGTGATTGGCTGCGCTGCCAGCACCTCAGCAAGGTCGGACTCGTGCCGAAGCCCGCATGCAGCCAATAAATATATAAGATAACATGATTAGAGAAATGCGCAGCCTCATCAACACACCGTATTTACATCAGCTGCTCATGAATGCCACTCTCACCAGAGCACCCTCTTTGATCGCGTCACCGAAAACCAGTTCACATTTGCCGTGGCCGTGTTTTGACCCGACAACATTGCCGATTCGAGTGAGCACACCCGAATCGTCCATCAAGTACCTTATGCGCTTTGCCATGCGATCATGATGTTGATGATTATGTGACCTAACCCTCTCCCTACCAACACCGCTCGCTGACACCAGCACAATACAAGTACACGCGCGTTCGCGACAGAACAGCTTGCAGTATGCGACATGGACGAACGCGTCGTTGGTGTGACTTTGGCAATGTGTTGTATAAAGGGTTAAGTAGCCCTGCAGTTAATCGAAGCTCTCGTGTGCAAAATTCTCATGATGTGCAGCGTGCATTTACGCGACCTCGGCACGACCCTGCCGCGACCTCGGCACGACCCTGCCGCGACCTCGGCACGACCCTGCCACGACCTCGGCACGACCTCGGCATGACCCTGCCGCGACCTCGGCATGACCCTTCTGCGACCTTGCTGTAACATTTATGCGACACCGCAGCGACCTAGGTGCGACCTTGCTGTGACCTCGGCATGACCCTGCCGCGACCTCGGCATGACCCTTCTGCGACCTCGGCATGACCCTTCTGCGACCTTGCTGTAACATTTATGCGACACCGCAGCGACCTAGGTGCGACCTTGCTGTGACCTCAGTGCGAGGCTGCCACGACCCTGACCTGACCTTGCCGTGGCCCCGATGTGACCTCGGCGCGACCCCGGCGCTCACGGACACCCGCGGATGCACTTAGTGTGGCGTGCAGGTAACGGTAGTGAACGTAGTGCTGCACGCCACGCGTGTAGTGTGTGATACATTAAGCTAGTCATCATCGATGGGTTGTGACGGAGCGACACAACATCATCCTGCTGCGAAACGAAGATAGGGAGATTATCCTGCAGCCGTTGCTAGGTTACGACTGGGTAGTCGTGACGAGTGGTTGCCTGGTTACGGCTTGGTAGTCATGGCGAGTGGTTGCCTGGTTACGGCTTGGTAGTCATGGCGAGTGGTTGCCTGGTTACGGCTTAGTAGTCATGGCGAGTGGTTGTCTGGTTATGGCTTGGTAGTCATAGCGAGTGGTTACTATGTTACCGCTGGCAGTTAGGAAGCATACATAAGTGCCAGAGGGCCACAGATTGTGTATTTAATTTTATTGTAGCGTCGTTATAGCATAACGTATGGTGGATACACCTCACCTATCCACCACGCCACCTATATATATATATATATATATATCTTCCACACACGCTGATACACCGGTATATATATAATATAGTATAAGGACGGGAGGGTGGCCATGCTGTTTTGCATATTTTCGTGTAGGCGTCGCACATGCTGTAGGTTGTGGTGCGTTGGGAGATTGGCTTGTACGAGCAGCATAATGGTGCGCATGCGCACTGAACTCGTTCAGATTTCTGCCGCTTGTCGTTCAGAGGCGGTTGTGGTGAACTGGTCTTCTGGTGGCGTTGAGGTTTCGTTCTGGTGGGATGAGAAAAGTACTTCTCGCCAAACACGTTGTAAAAAGGTCGACGTCATAAAGGATGCGTATTGACTAACTGAAGGTTGTGCGTTGGTGTGTATGTATGTGCGCGCGCGTGTGTGTGTGTGTGTGTGCGTGCGTGCGTGCGTGCGTGCGTCTGTGTATAGTCGTGGTCAGGGTCGACACCTTCGGTGAGTATGATGTATAAAGTGTCTGTCGTCCACCAATGATATGTATAAACTGACCGTCTGCCTCTTCTATCATATAGCCATTATCTTCCCACTTATAACGCGTGTATTTCCCGTTGCGATGCTAGTAGTGTCTGTAAAAGTAGTCGGTCTCTAGTATGCAATTTGTGAATAATGGTAGACGAATGTGTTATGAAGGATAAGATTGGTACGTCAACCCGTATTATGCGTGTTTTGTTTGAGGGGGGCCGCAGTGAGTAGATTAGGGTACCCACGGTCGTATGCAATCATGTGCACTGTGCGCCAGCATTGACAATTGAACTCTCTGTTACATATTTAGACAGTGTCGCCTGTGACACGTAAGACATTGTGCTGTGTGTCACAGTTTAAGACAGTGTACTGTCTGTGACACTTAGTCAGGGTGTTGTTTGTGACACATTTAGACAGGGTACGTGGCCAGGTGAGCACTTTAAGACGGTGTACACTGGTACTGTGGACAACTTAGGTCAGAGTGTCCCCTGTCATCTGAGGAGGATTTTACAACACGGTG